GTCCTCGGGGGAGACCTTGATCTGGAGGAGGTGGGAATGGGAGGTGTGCTGGGGGGAAGGGGAGGGGGGCAGGAAGGGAGAGAACAAGGGAATCTGTGGCTATTATGTAGAACTGAATAGTATTGTAAAATAAATAATAATAATAAAAAAGAATAGCTGGGGAGGACAAAAGGGACTTGATGAGCAAAGGGGGAATAGTAATATCTAAATTGGGTGAATGGGAGTGGAGAGTGGAGAGGGTAGTGATAGAGTTGAGGGAGAAGGGTAAATATGTTCAAATTTGAAAATGAACTGTTAAAAAAAAATGACTTGGGCCACGGTGGTTCACATTTATAAGGCGAACATTCAGGAGGGTGAAGCACAGGCGTGCCTAGACTACAGTGAGTTCTTGCTCAGCCAGGGGACCAGAAAGGAAACCAATACCCAATGAAATATGGAGCACTAACACCTTCATGAAATAGTTCATACAAAACTATCTGGAAAAGAGGGCAAGTGGTGGTGCACACCTTTAATCCCAGCACTCGGAGACAGAGGAGCGGGTCTCCATGAGTTCGAGGCCAGCCTGGTCTACAGAGCGAGATCCTGGACAGTCAGGGATACACACAGAGAAAACCTGCCTCAAAAAAGGAGGGGAGAGGGGCAGGAGGATCTCTCTCTGAGTTCAAGGCCGTCCTAGTCTACACAGTCAGCTCCCGGACAGCCAGAACTCCTTAGAGACTCTGTGTCATCCAAAAAACAACAACTGAAATCAATGAGATGGCTGCTCTGCACAACAAAGGTACGAGAATCCAAAGACTAGAGCAAGAAGGACCCCTGAGCGGGACTCGGGGTAAAGCAGAGTTTCCGCAGCTCTCTCACTGAAAGGATATTGAGACAGGAAACCATCAGGACAGTGGAGAAAGGCGTCCACCACCCCATCTTTCTCCACCCATTTCCCCTTTCTGCCTTTGTCCCCACGGCTTCCCTCTCCAAGTGCAGCTCACCTTTCGAGCTCAGTACACCACAAAACATCGTCCTTGCCATTCATGACTACAGGGAAAAGCTGGTTTTTCCCCTGTCTGATGGAGTTCGACTTGGTGGTTATTGTCTGTACTTTCTTTAACTGGAGGGGGAAAAACATTTTGGGGTGAGCACAGGAGGCTTCCACGTGGGGTCAGTCTCAGAAGAATCCAGAGGGCAGAGGATGGAAGGCATGAGTTAGGAGAGGTGGCGGGGATGGGCACACACAGAGAGAGGACAGAGACTGACATGAAGAGATTCTTTCTGCTTCTCACAAATGCCACATAAATTTTGGCCAAAAGTGACCATGAAGGAGCATATGGGGGCCAAGACACCAGTTACTGATCAAAAGGGTCATTAAGAGCAAAAACCATCCAGACTCAGAATGGCCAACCAGAGCTTGGGCAACAGGCCTTCGCTTTTCTCAGACATGGAGGAGCAGGCACTCAGAGGCCTTCCTGTGCGTCTCTGACTTCACAGCATCCGCCACTGCTCCTTACAGCAGAGATCACCTGCAGCACAGCCTCTGGACCTCCAGCATTAACCACTGCAGAACCCGCTTGCATTTTCTTACTGAGGTCATTGACCAAGAACATCTCCTACTCTGTACTCGAAGAAGGGACAGAACAGTTCTGTGGGGAGAGGAAAGAGGCCCAGCACCGGGAGTGTGTGAGGGAGTGAGCAGGAGCCACGTGGATAGAGCCAAGGTCAGTTTTCCAGAAGGTGCAGCATAGACCACTCAGCATCTTACCTTTGCTGTCCTACTGAACTCCAAGCAGTCCTGCAGCTCGAGCTTATCATTCTTTGAAGCTATCACGGGCCTGGGAACAGCCAAAACCCGTTACTCTCCAGCATCTGTCCTGGAGGTCTACACTAGAGACCTCACAAGTCAGGTGAGGAGAGAATCTAGCTTTTTAAATAAAATTTAATTTTTTTAAATGTGTATGCGTGTTCCCCTGTGTTTATAAGAGCACCACATGCAGACACAGGCCATGAAAGTGGAAAGAACTAGAATCCTGCAGAATATTGGGCATTGGGAACAGAACCAAGAGCAACAAGGACTCTGAACTGCCTAGCCAGTTCCCCAGCTCCAGAATCTGATTCTAAGTGTACTTTGGTAATGATCATGTCATAAACATCAGATGCAAACCATCCTGGTGAGAGCATAAGGCTGTGCCAAAATGCCTAATGACAGCCCACTACCCACACATGCCTTGCTACCACTGAATGACATGCATTAAGGGGAAACCAAGTCCTGTGCAAACCAGAACGTCATCTTTCACTGTTATATACAGACAGCACTATCACCTTGGTCTAGATCACTGTGGGCATCTTTACTATGAGACATAATGCCATGGAATAATCCTCTTGTACATTGTAAAGATTTGTCACTTGAATTGGTTTAATAAAATGCTGACTGGCCAGTAGCCAAGCAGAAAGTATAGGTATAGTATAGGGTAACCAAACTTAAGAATGCTGGGAAGAGGAAGGGCAGAGTCAGGAGTCTCCAGGCAGACAGAAAGGAAGCAAGATGAGAATGATGTCTTGAGAAAAGGTACCAAGCATGGCTAAACATAGATAAGAATTATGGGTTAATTTAAGTGTAAGAGCTAGCTGGTAATAAGCCTGAGATACTAGCCAAGCATTTGTAATTAATGAGTCTCTGTGTAGTAATTTGGGAATGAGCTGCTAGGTATTTGGGAGTTGCTGGCTGGACAGAAAAACTCCATTTACACGTACACTGCTCGAGACGGGAGCTCAGAAGGCCAGCAATTGACCTTCAGTGATTGCTCCTTCTCTGACTCTGTGATTGACCAATGTGGATTCAAATGTCAAGAGCTGGGTGTCAAAGCAGAAACCTATCCGCATCTGTACACAGAAGCAATGAACTACACCAGCCCCTATCAGAGGACCAAATACCTCAGAGACGTTGCAATGGAGGCAGTTAAGGAAATCACACCCAGCCCTGACAGCCTTCTAGCCACCCAATGAGGTATTCATGAGCCTGACACTGAGACCAAGAAAGAAGAGTCAGAGCAAGCCTGGATCTGTGCAGATTCAAGATCCACACAAACTTCAACACAGGTAGTGGAGCGTGGTCAAGTATAACCCCAGGGACCCAAGAGTGGATGATGAAGACCAACATAAAGCTTCTAGTGTTCACAGCACACACATAATTTAAAAAAAAAAAAAATGACTGCATCAGTGATGGATGATAAACCAGCAGGTATTAGCTAGTGCAGTCTGTATCTGCCTAGACCTCAAATGCTTAGTGTATCAAACCAGACTCCTCTTGTTAACCAACATGTTGACTGACATCTAACAAGTCTCCAGTGGTTGACATCCTCTTGGATAGACAATACTCATCACCACTTCATTTACATCTTTCTGTCTTCTTCCTCCCACTAGGCAAAAATGCATCTCATGTTAGCCATGTCCCATGATTTCCAATGCCAACATTTAAGTAAGCAGCATTGTGTTTAGACGGAATTTCTTAGGCCTATACCTTCAGTTTCTTCCCAAGGTGTTCCTGACCTAAGAACACTAATCTTAAAGCTTGTCTCAGGAAACCCATGGGTACCACAATCCAGAGTCCTTCCTTCAGCATCAGATTCTCATTATTCACATGGCTGCATCCCTTCTGTTCTATTGAATGGGCCCTCTTGCCGTCCACATCCACATTTGCCAAGCTACCCTTCTTAGCTTGTCCACTCCATAAGAACCATCAACAGGCTCTACCACTTAATGGGCAACACAGCAGCTATGAAAGAGCTTGATGGCTGGGTAAGTTAGCACAGGGTACCCCAAGAATGAACATGGTATGGTAACCAATAGCTCAGCCAGCTCCAGTGATTAAGTGATTAATGATACTCCCCACCCCACCCCCCACAAAAAAACCTGGTCCACCCTACTACAGGCTTCAACTCCAGTCACACTTGGCCAATATCTAAAGTTGCTTATCAGAGCTCATGGCAGGTCAGAGATGGTCAATATCATTGCATGTAGTGTCTTCATTAGCACGGTCTTGAAAGCAAGCATAGATAATCAGGCCCTTACAGAGCGAACCGCTTGTGTATAAACTCCCTTGACTCAGCAACTTTTGGTTCATGATAAAAGGGTGGGAAATACTGACTGAGAAAATTAGAGGGAGCCAGATTCTGTGCTATTTACAAAAATAAATTTATTATATGTATGAAAGTATTATCAGCATATCACATCCATACCTGGCACCCTCAGAAAACAAGGGAGCCTCAGACTCCATGGAAAAGGATACTAAGACCAATAACTAATATATAGGATGCTATGAACTTATAAAGCTTCGATAGGGCAGAGGATACCATGTTGTGGCAAAATTGCAGCCTATAGAATAGGATAAGATCCTATCAAATTATGTATCTGATAAGAGGGTTAGTATCTACAATAGAGAACTAAAAGATGGGGAACAGTAGTAGTGAATAATTTCTCAAAATATGAAATACAAATGGCTGGGACACAGTGAAATATTCAACATTCCTAGCCATTATGAGAGTGCAAATTATGGATGGACAGCAGTGGCACATGTCATTAATCCCAGCACTTGGGAGGCAAAGGCAGGCAGATCTCTGTGAATTCGAGGCCAGCCTGGTCTACAGAGCTAGTTACATGATAGTCAGGGCTACAGAGAGAAACACTGTCTCAGGGTTAAGAGATGGCTCAGCAGTTAAGAGCACTGGCTGCTCCTCCAGAGGTCCTGAGTTCAATTCCCAGCAACCACATGGTGGCTCACAACCATCTGTAATGAGATCTGGTGCCCTCTTCTGACCTGCAGGCATATATGTAGGCAGAACACTGTATACATAATAAATAAATCTTAAAAAAAGAAACATTGTCTCCAAAAGATAAAAAGGAAGAAAAGGAAAAAGAAAAATACAGAAAGAAAAAGAAAAAAAATTAAATGAAATTATAAATGAGATTTCATCTTCTGTCAGTCAGAATGGACAAGACCAATAAAACAAATAACAGCTTGTGGGGGCAAGGTTGTGGGTGCAGAGGGAAACACTTATTTGTTCCCGGTGGGTGTGCAAATTGGTTCAGACATTATGGGCAGTGTGGCAGTTCCTCAGGAAATTGGAAATGGATCTGCCTCAAGATCCCGCTATAACCACTCTTGATGATATAACCAAAAGACTCTACATCCTAGTAAAGAGTCACTTGTTCAACCATGTTCATTGCTGCCCTAGTCATGATGGCCACAAGTTGGGAACAGCCTAGAAGTCTGCAATTAATGAATGTTCAGTGAGAATGTCATTCCTTTATACAATGAAATTATTCAGCTATTAAGAAAAACAAAATAATGAAATGTGAAGGTAAATGGATGGAACCAGGGGGGAAAAATATCCTGATTGAAATAACCCAGACCCAAAAGGTCGAATATTATATATTGTCCCTTATATGTGCATAGTAACTTTTAAGCCTTCAATGTGTGTGCTACAACACATCAGAGGTTAGGTACACAGTAGGGACATGGGAGATTCCAAAGAAAAAGGAAACAGAACATAGAGCTAGAGATAAAGGGGGAGCTATACTAGATGGATTAAGTAGAGAATATGAGGAGAGGCAAAAGATTACATTTTTATGAATGGTTTGTCTGCATGTGTTACTTGCATCCCAGGTGCATTCCTGGATCCCTCGGATGACAAGAGGGTATCAGACCATTTGTAGTACAGATGGCTGTGAAGTTCCAAGAGTCTGCAAGGGCAGCAAGTGAGCTTAACCACTGACCATCACTTCTCAGCCACCATGCTACTACCATTAATGCCTCAGCTCAGCCCTGGGTTGGTCACCAAGGGCCTAGTCCAGGACCCACACCATCTCAGGGGCAGAAGGAATGGTGTCCTTGACACTCAACATTTGCAATGGAAGACGGCACAGCAGGAAGAACAGGGAGGCTTCATAGTTCTGTCATCCTGGGGACCTTGAGAAACGCCTGCCCGCCCTGCAGCTAGAGCAAGGCAGCTGGCCCAGGAGTCCTGTCCAGTGCTCCACTCATCCAGAGCATCCTAAAGCTCTAAACCTTTCTAGACAGTGGTTCTCAACCTTCCTAATGCCTCGACCCTTTAATACAGTTCCTCATGCTGTGGTGACACCAACCATGAAATTATTTCATTGTGACTTCATAAATATAATTTTGCTACTGTTAGGAAACATATGCAGGATATCTGATATGCGAACCCTATGAAAGTGTCATTGGACAGATCTGTGTGTTCCCCCCAGGGATCACTGCCCACAGGTTGAGAACCACTGGACTAGAAAGTTGGAATATTGGGCTGGAGAGATGGCACAGAGGTTAAGAGCATGGCTGCTCTTCCAGGTCTTGAGTTCAATTCCCAGCACCCACATGGTGGCTCACAACCACCTGTAATGAGATCTGGTGCCCCCTTCAGGCATGTAGGCATACATGCAGGCAGAATACTGTACACATAATAAATAAATACAATTTTTTTAAAAAAAGGAAGAAGAAAGTCAGAATGTCAGTCAGACTTGTATATAACTTGGCTGTCTGTTACCTGTCCTGCTCAGGGTTCTTACCTGTTCATCCCAGGGAGGTTGCCCCAGAAGTATCGGGCCCTGTGAGCGGCAGAAACCTTGATGGCGTCGATCATCACTGGGTTACACTGCAGGAAGAGAAGGGGAGCTGCTGGGGACACCTCAAGACTCAGCTGTCAGTCAGCCCAGGTCTGACCCGGCGGGTGACCAGGCTTTCCTAGCTAAACAACGAGACAGACCAGTTCCCACCCAGAGGCTGGCTGGAGAGATCAATGCATGATGGTGGATAAAGAGATGAGATCAGACCTGCCCACATTGATTCATGAGCAAATTCTATTTGCAGAAGGTTGTGCAGGCAGAGAATGCACACCTAAGCACGGGTTGAAGACAGCTCTATCCCTCAAGGCCAGATAACTTATAAGCTAGCTGCGGTGGTGCACACCTGTAATCCCAGCTCTCTACAGGCAGAGACAGGAAGATTAAGAGTTCAAGGAAAGCCAGGGCTACGTGAGACCATCTTCAAAAAGAAGGACAGAGCCAGCAGGGTGGTTCAGCAGGCTGGGGTGCTTTTATGCTGATGACCAGAGTTTGAGTTCCAGAAGCCACATTGTGGAGAGAATGGACTCCAAAGTAATCCTGTGACCTTCAAACATGCAGCATGGCAGGTGTGCCTGTGTGCACACATACAAAGTAAAGCTTAAAAATGAAGGAAAACAAACCAAGAGATGGAAAGACAAAAGCCTATTAATTTCCCCACAGACCTTACATCAGTGATTATCAATACAAATAGAAGATAGCATAAGTGCTGACTAAGAAGGAAGGGGTGACCTAAATGGATCACCTACATTCAAAAAGCCTGGAATCGTTCATCCTCTAGTAAGGAAATCCACTGCTCAGCAACATCGAGCAGCCTTCTGTGTTAGTGTTGCCTTCCCTGCCTAGTTTCCCTGACAATGGACTCACCGCCAAGAATCGGGAGATGTCTTTCTTGTCGTTGACCTTCATGGCTACCACATTCTCAAACATCCAGAAGAATGGACGGTTGTCGCCCTCCTTGGGGCGTGTATAATTCAGCAAGTGGTAAAACTCAAAGAAGAGCCTGCCGGTGCCCTCTATATTGGTAAGAGCATTGGAAAATGGAGTTCAATCAACACAAGCCTCAACTTCCCCAAACCAAGAGTTTTCCAAGGACACAGCAGTAAAGGAAAACCTGTACCTGTTGTGCCCTGGAATGACAAACAGAATCTGGCCTAAGCTATGAGCCATGCTGAACAACACTACGAGCCTATTCCACCTGAACTCACACTGCTGATAGAGGCCCTGCAGGGGTCACAAACCCACTCAATCTACTCACCATATAGGCCTTTCCTGGCGGGATTGACATTGGAGAGGTCATTGCAAGGGCTTCCACCAATCACCAAGTCAAATGGGCCCCACTCCTCAATCTGAGGGAAAAACAGGACTAGGATGAGCCTGAGGAAGGACGAACTAAAACCTTGGATTCTGGGGGAAAATTTAAAAACAAAAATAAATGAAACAAAAAACACCAATTCTAAAATCATCCTTTGCCACTAAATGTTTGATGCCAGACACCTCAATGCTCATGTTCTAACAGAACTACAGAATCTTGAATTATACCTCAAATTGCCCTATTTATACTTTTTTTCTAACGTGTCCACAGCTTCCACTACCTGCAACCCTGGACCTGAGGGATGGGGACAGTATGCCATGATATCAGGTCAAGTCCAGGGTATAGAAGAGGGATAAGTAAGATGAGATGAACTCCAGGAAAAAGGTCACCCTTACATTTTTCTTTGTGATTTTCCTGACGTCATCCACGTATTTGATATGGCCTTCATGCTTAACGGTTCCCACGGCGATGGACTCTGAACAGACTTCGGAGGCGACGTACTTTTCCACTTTGATACCCAACTCTTTGAGCACCAAGTACCCTGTGGGGGATCAAATAGAAATGTGAGGACAGGGGAATGAGGATCCATCCCCTCACTCCATCACTGTCGCTTCAGAGCAGCGGTGTCGACTCCAGGGGCCCTCACAGCGTCGCCCACAGTGGCCATGCTCTCTCCTTCCACGTAGGGGACATCTCACGACATGGAAAGGAACCAGGACTGAGGAGGGTAGTTGCTACCTAACTGACCACCAATGTATCTATGCACACAGAAGGAAAAGTTTAAGAATCAAGGTTAAAATGCAAAGAGCTAAGAAGTATGTCCTTTGAAAAGGGGAGCAAGCACCCTGCAAGAGCCATAGCAGAGCTGAGAGTGCTGTGCATGCTGACTGATTCCTGCGTGCACACAAATGGGAAAAACTAGAAAAGAGCCCAGACTGAGGGGCTTGCCAGCAAGCCGACGGTCTGCAACTGTCACAGGGGAGACAACTATAGCCCGCCTAGAAGCGTCTTTCATTGCCTCAGACTCACCTGTCGCAATTCCATCAAACAGGGACAGGACTCTAATGGGCCTCCTCCTGGCTGCGGGAATTGCTGGGTACAACTTGGGCGGCTCCTGCCAGATAAGCAAAGAGAGTGATGCCTCAGAGTGCCCATCCATCCTCCTGTGCCCAGAGGCTTTGATGGGAACCGGGAAGAAAGCATTAGCCACAGGCTGGCCATGCTGTCCTTAGATAGGAGGGACACACAGAGCCAGATAAGGAGCTGGGCCAGCCGCTGCCAAGGCCTCTAAGAACAGGAGATCAACTCCTACAATGTGGGAGCAGCTGCTCTTGTCACCCACAGGCTCCAAACATTCCGTCTTGTTCCCTCCTCAGAAGGCACTGGAAAGAGAATTGTCGGCTAGAGGTGTTGACTCGCAAGGGCTCTCAGGGCTCTGTGAGGTAGCAGAGATGGAATCTCGCTGCACGTTCCCAGCTGGCCTTGACCTCACTAACATAGGCTACCCTTAAACTCATCACAAAGTTCATGGCTCAGCTTTCTGTGCTGAGATTCCAGCCTTTGTTTCTATGCCTGTTACTATAATTTTCTTTGGCTGTTTTGATACAGGATCTCACGATGTAGGTAGCCATGACTGGCCAGGAACTCACTATGTAGACCGGGCTATCATTGAACTCAGAGATTGGTCTGTCTCTGTCTCCTACATTCTGAGATTAAAGGCCTGACTCTTGCTTGTACAGATGCACAGGATTCAGATTCTCGGGGACTGTAATTGCATGGGACTACACAGAGCCGATGGCTTACAAATTCTTCGAGGTCAGGATCAGTCGTGAAGAAGTCTTGCAGGCGCATGTTCCAATCCTTCCTGCGCCTGAGGACACCATGGCAGCGCTGTGGGATGCACATATAGCAGCTCCAGGGTTCCTTCAGCTTGGCATCCTCGGCTGTCCCTGTCCCCACCAGCACCTCCAGACACTCCACACAGAAGCACCTGTATCAGAGTATCCAGAGAGAGTGGGCACCAAGATTACCAGACATTTGTCATGTAGGCCCAGTTAGATCTCCTGCCTGATGCTCAGCCTCCGGCCTCCACGTATTTTGAGATATAGGTTAACAAACCCCTTCTTGAATATGGAACCTTCACACTCCCTTCAGGTCTAGAGCCTTTCAACAGAAACCTCACGGGGCTGACCTCACGGGCACATTGACCTGAGTCCAGCACTATGCATCAATGCAGTTCATGCCCGTGAGCACCAGATTCCACAGACTATCTAT